CGGAATAGTTTCTTTGTGTTTGATTTAAAGTTCGGCTAAAAATTCTTCAGGAAATTTCAACACAGGGGCTTGCGTTAATGCTTGTTTTAATTTTTCGAAAGCACTATTGGCTTCGGCCGTCCACGAGAATCTTGCCTTTTTCCTTTTTAATTTTAACAATGGTTCAGCAATAGATGCAAAATTTTTTATAAAGGACCTATAATATGAACAATGTCCTAGAAAAGAAGAGAGCTTCTTCGCCGTGTTTGGAGTCGGATACTTTTGTACAGCAATTATTTTTGATTCGTCTGTCTCGATTCCTTTCTGAGATATTTTGTAACCTAAATATTTTAATTCAGGGGCTGCAAATTTGCACTTTTCGACATTAACTTTTAGACCGGCCTCATTTAATAAAGAACACACCTGTCTTAAATCCTGTACATGTTGGTCGAGATTATCACTAGGAATAATGATATCGTCTAAATAGATAAATGTGGACTTTCCAAGAACAGGTCTTAACACAATGTCCATACATCGCTGAAATGTTGCCGGTGCCCCTGAAAGGCCAAACGGCATACGCAGAAATGCATAAGTACCAGACTTGGTTATAAAAGCAGTCTTAGCCACGTCCTCAGGCCTAAACCCTATTTGAAAATAACCAGTCGTTAAGTCTAAAGTCGTCATACATTTGGTGGATGTTATGTTCCTTAGAATTTCTTCAATAATAGGTAACGGATATACCGGATATTTAGTTATGGAGTTTAATTTACGGTAGTCAATTGCGAATCTCCACCTTTTTGGATGTGTCAAAGGATAGTCATTATTTTTCTTACATAAAACCACCGGGCTAGCATAACTACTTGAGATGGGCGTTATGATCTTTTTACGTAGCATATCGGTGATATGCCATTCTATAATTTTTCCTTATTCTTATCATAACGGTATGGCTTTGTGGCGAACTGGCAATTGAATCTCCGGTGTCATCGATTTCATGATTAGTAACCTTCCGTAAATCCTGGAAATATCACTGAATATAGTAAGCAAAATTCACTTACCACTTGTCGGAATTCTTTTCTTGCTCGTCATTAGGCAGGTGGTCAAGATTTAACCTCGGGCGGTTTCAGCCTTTTTACTCCACGAACTGGTTTCATTGTCAGCTTAAAGGGACGCTTCATTAAAATCCAGCGTTGCTTCGTGCCTCTGAAAGGAACATCTATTCCCTAAGATTATATGTGCTTGCAGATTTCTTTACTATAAAAAACATCAACCTTTTACTTGTTCGTCCTTGAATACGGACATACAGCGGTACTTTACCTATACACTTACATTTTTCTCCTTGCGCCTCTAGCACTGTCGTATTATCCGAATTATATATGCGGTATTTTCGAAAATACTTCCTAAAAAATTCTTCTGCCACACAGGAACACTGCGCGCCTGTATCCAGGAGTGCGGTGGCTGGGATATTATTCACCAACACTTCAATCTTCGGAAGAGTCAAATTTTTCACCATTACTGTATTTAACTTGAATGAAGAGGGGTTTTCTTGGCCTTCGGATTTCCGCACCCTCATGTCAGCAGAAATCCGTTTTAGTTTAACTTATTTTTCATTTCCGTGCTTTCCTTCTTTTTCCACTGGCCTTGAGACTTTTTTCCTGGATTGCTATTGAACTGTCGACGTTCGCCGGCTGTTTTTGAATGCTCGGGTTTCCTTGCCCTCTGATTTGCTTTGCTTCCGTAACCGTGTGCTTGAGTTTGCTGTAGTCTTGGCGCACCAAATTTGTTTCGCAGTTGATATTGGCGTCTTCTTTCAACGTCCGCCGTTCTTCTGCTTTCAAACTGGATTGCTAGCTCGAATAACTTTTCCAGTGTAATCGGATTTCTTAATTCAATAAAGTCTTGCACTTGGGGCAATAACCTCGGCAAAATCACTTGAATTATCTCAGGATCCGGACGGTTTCCGTACAAGAGTTTGAAGACGTGAATTTTTCTTAAAATAAAGCTTGAGAGATTTTTGATTCTTTGTTGATATATGCTGAAACGTTCCGTTTCTAATTTCGCACGATCCCTTACGACAGGGAAGGATTTTAGTAGGGCAGTCTTGAAATTCTCGTAAGTATAGGTGGGACTTCCTGCTTGACCCAAAAGACTTCTGCCTATACACTTGAACCAGTTAAGCTCTTGGCCCCTCAAAGCGCTGGTAGCTAAGGTAACTTTTTGAAATTCGTGCACGGGGTAGAGCATGAAGTGGTCATCCAATTTTTCCAGAAAACTGGTTACCGGTGAGTTTCCATTAAATGTTGCTTCTGGTTTCATCGAAGCGCGCATGGTCTGGACGATATAACCAAATCCTTCCAGGGCGGCAGCTGGCATTTCTGGATTCTGAGCCGCTTCTGCAGGCAGCACAGGTTCTTCTTGGAACTCGGCCATGGTTATTCTTCTTCGTTGGGCGCCACTATCAGGTTCAACGTTCCGTCTTACTTTCTTCGGGAACATGCGAGGACCTGACTCGGAACAGAGAGCTTACTAAAGCTATGTTCATTCACTGTGGGAAGTAGACAGCATACACAAGAAGGGTATACAAAACCCTTTATTTTTCTCTATTTACAATAACTTCCGTACTTCGGAATACACAGACCCACTACTTGTGGTCTAAACGTAAAAATATAAAAATAAAACAAAACTCTAATTTAACTTTAAAATAAATAACGTGGAAGATTGGCCTTATATTAACAGGAAGCCGTATGTAGTACAGAGAACTGTGAACACTACAATACGTTTAAAAATTATCAAGAGGATTAAAACTTCTGGCCTGGAAGGCAACCAGCAACTGAGTAAAACTTCTAAGGTAAGCGGCCTGCTTCGACTCACTGCTTCCTCTCTCTCGCTTGGCAAAAAGCCACAACTTAAATACTTGGCGTTCGCCAGACAAACTTTGCATAAATACATTAACGCTTATAATTCTGGCCGGAAGTAGAAAATAAGAAGTGATAGTAAAGATTTAAAATAAAATAAACGTTAGTAAAACTTAAGATCCTTACAATATGTTGTAACTTCACTGTACCAAATCAAATGTGACATTCTTTTTGGTTGCTAGAAATCGAAATGATTTCCTACTAGAATGGCACGTAAGCCACCTAGTGGTTAGGTGGTTAGTTTGTAACTACATAAATGTCACTATTTCAGAAGTGTAGAAAAAGAATTTCTTGATTTGAATTAGTGATTAACACAAATTCGAGACTTTTTGAGTTGTGACGTTATTGTAGCGGGAATGGAATATGTTTCTTTTCTTTTCTTTTCTTTTTTTTTTCCTGTTGCAGTTTATATGGCGGAAGTGTGAAGAACGTGATATTTAATAAATAAAGTTTAAACACAGAAAGATAGAAAGAAAAAGAAAAAAAATGTGTTAAGTCATCTTTTTTTAGAAAAATTAAAATTTATACACTGAAATGCCACTAAATTAGGGATAGCTAGTCAATAACGAGTAAGTAATGGTTGCCACACGACGAGATATAGATTCAATAAGTTTGCGGCTGCATTCTAAGGCAATGGCTTGTCGAACATCGGATAGAGCTGGGCTATAGTTTTGGAAGGGTCGCTAGAGCTGTGTGATGTGGTTTCACACCTTTCTAGAAAGCATCGAAAAGGTACTCAGTAGAATATAAGTCAGGGCTTATGGCAGAGAAGTCAGAGGAATTCTCATCCAGCTAGGCAGTAGTTAGCCGGGACATGTGAGAAGTGCAGTTATCTTGTTGGGATGTTCGGATACTCCATTTACGTGTAAATGACAGGACAGCACAAATGGATGGAGATGATCGAAGAATCAATGGCTTCATGAGCCTGATGTCATATTCTCAGCCTACCGTCGTTATTAATTAGTCGGAATTGAGACTCATCACAACATGCTACTCGTTTCCAGTCCTCTGTTTTCTGTTTCTCTTGCCCAACCAAAAATTGAGATCGAGGGGAATTCATTCAGTAATGGCATTCTCGTGTTCCTATGGCTCCCTGAAGCCTATATGGTGAAGTGAGCTTTATTCGATCAATTTGCTGACTATACGATTGTCGCGCTGATTCTGCTGGATGGTTAATTTAGCTAATGTTTTCATGTTTCAAGTTTTCAAATTCTTATTTCATTTTCCCACTTGTGTCCCTTTGCTGTCTTAGTGTAATTTCGTTTATTTGTTTTCTAATTGTAAGCCTTTTACTGTTTACATGAATATGTTCCATAGTATACTCTGTAGAACACCTGGCAGTGAAGTTTGAGAGAAAAAGAATTTTATTTTTAAGAACATAATGAATAAATACACATTTATTTATTAAACAAGTAAGATTAATTTGAAAAGCACTTGTTGGATTTTTCGCTTGCCAGTGATTAACGCCTAAGCGATACAGCAAATCCAAACCCACAGCCAAAACTAAATAATAAGAATTGTAAAATCAAAGTCGACTTTTTCTTTGGTACATTGGTCGACGATAAAACCGACAAGTACCATTTCTGATTCATATTTATTAAAATTGATTAATTCAGGATTGATATCTAAAATGCATACATACTCAAGACGTCTGCAAAAATGTAGGACGAAATTGGTACAAAAGCTAAAATTGACGAAAACATTCTTAGGTTTAAAAATTAAATATCCAGTCATGGTACTCATCGTTAGTAATGATTTTAGCGTTACTGATTAATATTTCCAGAAATTCCTAAACCCTGTCCTAAACAAAGTACAAGTTTTATCACTAGTCATTTAAAAGATCAGAATTAATTCCCATGTCTCAAGACTGTTCTTTGTTCACCTTGTCAGCAGATGTTTATTGGATCGTGACTTACTCTATAGAAAGTTCTATCTGTAAGCAGACGACGTTTTAGGTATATCATTTAGCAGGTCTGGTGAAATTTGCTTAAAATTTAGAACAATAACTTTGTAAAAGCACTGTATGTAGGATTTTTTCGCATATTATCATTATTTAAGACACTAAGATTAATACTTGTGCCTTTTACTGATGCTTCTTTTCTTTTTTAGGACCTCCCGAATCTGTAAAAAGCTGTGTTGTATCCAATCAGTCAGTTTCGTTTCTGTTAGTGGAATGCGAACCGGGTTACGACGGGGGCATGAAACAAACTTACCATCTTGAAGTCTACAATTCTGTGGTAGAGCATCTGCAAGCCAACATTACCTCACAGGAAACTCCAGTATTTGAAGTCAGCGATTTACCCTCTGCTACGTCTTTCATTTTAGTTCTTTACGCTTCTAACTCCAAAGGCAAGAGCAATTCAGTGGCCTTGATGGCTAATACTCTAATGCCAGCAGAAAGAAGAACAGATGATAATACCCCTAAAGGTTTGTAAAACTATATGTTTAACCCAAATTGTATTTTTCATGTTAATCAAAAAGTAATCAATAGCTTTTAAAGTCTTTACATATTTGTTATGGAAAAATTAATATGCTTTTAATCTTCTTCTCACTTGTATCATATGTTTTTGGTATTTTACTGTTTGATCATTTGTGTTATATTACCTATTATTTGTCTTGGAAGATGATAAGTTTGACTGAGCTTTATTCTGAATTTCCTCTGTGACATCACTAACTTAATTAATTAGTTTTGGAGTTAATTATACAGTACAAAGAGCTTTATATTATATTATGTAAATAAACTGTATATTAATATATTAATTTGCTAATTGATGCTGGTTGAATTAAAATGTTGGTTCTTTGACTGATGTTTGTTGCTGATTGAGTGGAACTGTATAAATTAGTTAGTTGAAGTTTTGCAACTAAAACTAAAAATTGAGTTATGTATTAAAAAGTGTTTTCGTTATATAACCACCTGTCTACTAATAAGATTTCTAACTAAGGCTTTATCATTCATTAATTAAGATAGAAATTATGGTTTTTCGAATTAAAACTAAAATAATTATTCACTCAGTATTTCTGCGAATAATAATATTCCTGAGAATGTAAATAAATATAAAAGTTAAGCATTATTCCTTTAAGTCGACCCCTCAATAGAAGATCAAAATGTCTGGAGTCGCTGATGGTCACCAGGGAGATTTCCTTTCACTGCGAAATTATCGCACAACATAATTAAGTAACTTTAACAGTGTTCAAGATTGGAAAGCACTTTTCGTCCTGTAATTAGAAAAACAAATTATTTTTTTAATTTTGCCTGTGTTCATAATAACATTTGTAAACTACATGTAATTATACAAGAAATTTAAACATTTTTTTTTTTCAGATAAAGGATATGCTATTTAGAATTTAGTAAATATTCTAGAAATAGCTAATTCATAGAAAACATATTTTCTATGCCTAGATTTTAAAATTCCCAGAAAAAATATTATTTAAAATTAATAATGAAACAACAAGTCTAACCTGGATATCAATACCTTTTTATTGAAAAATATTTTGTAAAATTTTAGCAAAATACATTTGAAATTTAAGGAATATGTATGCTTTCAAATATGCAATTTGAAAAATAAAATATCCTCAGAATGTTTTGACAACGGAAGCCCTCCGGAAAGTCCAGTAGGAATATCCCCAAGATGTTGACTGGAGAAGCCTTCAAAAAGTCTGAGAAGCACCATCTTCAGGAAAACATAGCGACTTAAACAAGGCCTCCTCATGATGTTAAATTACGATGTCCTCAGGCATCTGAGATTCGGCATACTCAGGATATCCTATGTCCCAGAACATATGTATGGGAGATTGTATGGGAGATAATTATTTTCTAGTTTCACTAGCACAATAGAAGGAGTACTGTTTTACAAATACGATCTTCTTTACAAATATTTTGTTATCTATATATTCCTTAGATCTATTTGTTTATTAGTCTATTTTTTTCGCAAAATAAATACAGAGATTTTTTCACGTTTTAGAAGAATTATTTCTGTGAAGAATTTAAAAAAAAAGCAAATTTTTGGAATAAAAATTTCTGGCGGTATCTTAATATTTTAAATGATAAATATCGTCTGTTACTTTTAGATTTATTCTATCAAAATACCATATGTATTTAGCTGTGGATTGAAGGATATATTTTTTAGCTTTTCGAAGAGAAATATTCCTATTCAATAATTCAAAAACGTTGTGAAATGCATACCATTAACATTTCTAAGTGAAAAATAAACAACATTATGAATGGAAAAGTGTAAAACTGTCAATCAATGCTTTTAAATGAAGCGAAGAATTAAATGAAATACATACCGAAAAATAATACGCACTCTTTCTAATGTTTCTAAAATTAAATCGTTGATAACAACAGAAAACCCGCTGAAACAGATCAAATGCCTTTAAATACATCTGTAGCAAAAGTAAATATAATAATAATAAGCCAAGGTTTACAGCTTACAAAAGCTAAAGAACATAATTTTCGCTAGCGTTTGCTGAGGCATGTGGCTGAAAACAGAACAAATTGTAGAAGCCTGTATGAAAAATATTTAGTAGGAAATATTTCTCTCTATTGTTGTCTCTTTATGAAGTATGGATTTACCTAAATAGCTGCGACAAAAAAAAAAAAAAAAAAAAAAAAAAAAACAATTTATTGTTGAAAACGAAAATAAGTAACTGCATAGACCTAGTTTTGCCAATGCAAAGAATATTTCCATAAAGGTTTATGATTGTTGCAGGATCCTTTTGCAATGGTGTTTCCTTGAAAAAGTGCAGACTGATATTGGTATTGCATATACTCGTAAAGAGTGCCCCTGTCCTAGAACTGAACTTGTGCGATCCATAGTTTTCGAAATAAATGCGAAAGAAACGTATCGCGGCATATGCGTCCCATCGCGTATGATTTTAGTATGATGCAGCTGTAGCATATTTTAGCACTCCTTCTGTATGTAACTGGCTGGATATGGAATACGCAGATTACTTGATGGGACATGCTGGTCTGATTTATTGCAGCCATGATTGGTCAGATTTGACACCTTAGTATTTCATCTTGTGGAGGCCACATGAAGGATTGTTATGTCAAAAACTAGTTACTACAGAAAGGGACTTAGTTTCTCGTCTTCATCCTGGGTGTTCTTTGGTGCACACCATTCTGGTGCAACTTGTGCAGTCAGTCATTCCACGGTGCGCGGATGTATGATGCGCGGCCTACATTTTGAATATCTTTTTATGTAAACACATGCAAATACCAATGCTTTTCATCGGTTATGACGTCATACCTTTCTTCCGTATTTATATCGAAAATTATTGGTCATAAAGGTACTGTTTTTTGGGGCACATTTTATGTATTCTAAGCGAGGAATCTGGCTGTGCAGAGTTTGGGTGGTCTTTCTTGGGCACCCTGAATAGCTTTTCAACGAATTCCTGCAAATAGCCCTTATGTTTTACCTAAGAATTATTGTGACTTTTGTCAGTTGAAATGAGCTTCTTCCTAAGTGAAAACTTGCCACGACTGATGTATGAAAAACGACTCTCAGATCCAGCATATAAAAACTACCGTTAACATTTTAAATATTAATTAAACTACCCGAATATGCTTCTAAATACTTGTAAATGCCCTCTGCATTTAAAGGAAATAAAATGTTTATGAACACTTAAAGCAGTAGTCTTATATTAACCATAATAATGCATTATTTGTATTTAATAATTTATTAATCACGTTTAGAGGAATAATTTTTAAATTTTTATTAAATCTATGTCAGGTATTTGGACAAATTGAGACGTTATGAGAAATCTTTGTTAAGCGCATTTCAAATCATTGCTTTTATCTCTTTTCGTTTAAGGAACGTAAGAAAAGATAATTAAAAAGTGTTTACTATATTAATTTTGCAATAAAATAAAGTCTTAAATTCTTTCCTATTAAATGAATTTATAAACTGTAAATAAATTTTTAATAATAACTCATTTTTTCCATGAGAACATTTTCGTCAAATCAATGGAGGTTTCATTATATATTAAAAGGAATTGATAAGTATTAAAGTTTCTTGAAAGACTTCTTATTTATACTTTTAGGTTTTATTTAATTTGCGGGCGTATCTAAACATTGACAATGACATAAATATATTGGCATGCAAATATACGCAGAAACACTAAGTTGATTTTGCTAAAATACAGCTTTATCTTAAAGTGACAGACGATTCTCTTTTTTCTTTCATGAGGCATAAGAAATTTCTACACCCCAAAATTTCTATCAAATCTTATAGTTGTTTTTAGGCTGCAGCCGATATTGTAAAATAATCACCGAAAAATGATAATGCTGCATTGAAGCTGTTTTTAAAATGAGTCCCTTTTAATGCTTTTTTCTTTACCGCGATTTTCTATTTTCATTTCAATAGCCTACGATTTCAATTCCTATGAAAACCTTCTTATTCACATGAATGCAAAGCTTCGATATGCAAAATAATATTTTTAATCTGACGCTTTTATTATACGAAAACATAAACCAAAAGAACCTGGAAGTTCTTCTCTTTATGGCTTAATATTAAACAGGCCTAATATTAAACAATCTCACTTGTGTTATTTTAGTACTCTCAGGAATTTTAGTCTTCTTCAAAGCTTTTTCCAACAACAACTATATACTTTCCCGGGTGTTTTGTCTACTGTGGAATACGGAAAATATTTTGAAACTATTACGGGTAAATTATCCAAAATACTTAATACATTTTCTTGTACCTTTATCCCCATCATTGAACTGTTTTTCATTTCTTTATCCGTTGTATTTATTTTTGAAAATTTTCCTTATCTGTGAAAAGAAAAAATTCGATTATTTGATTATGGCAGAGAACAAAATGACTATATGGAGAGATGCCTTCCTGGAGGACTTTATAAGGAAACCTGGTTCATATAAATGCTACAAAGGAGGAAAACCACAAGCAAATTTTCATCCGACGCATTCACTTGGGATCTAACCTAAGATCCCAAGTGAATCTAACCACTGATTCCGAACATCCAGCATTCAATGGTCTTAAAACCTCAACCACTGTTGTTGGAGCTAGAGGAGTAACTTGGTGAGTAACCTTTTTTGGGATGCAAGGACGTGCAGTTCTTCCTGAAGAACAGTCGGGTGGAGCCAGGATTATCAAAAATGACGTGAATAATCTCAAGTCGATCTTCACTAATCGCCCTTAGCAATTTTTTCTCAATGTGTCTCTTATTTCTACATGCTGGTGAATGTTCAAGCTGTTGCAATTCAAAAGCTTTACTTTTATACTCAAACCAGCAATTTAAAAAAAATATTTCTCAGCTGAAATTTTCCTAAACAAATACAATGTTTCGTATGCAAATTTTTGCTTTTTGGAGTCGCACATCAGAAAACTCCCAATGAACAGAAAAATAATACATATTAGCACGAAAGAAAAACCGCATTAGTCAGATTGAAGCCACTTGGCGAGAGAATAACGGGATAACAAGGCATGTACTGCATCTACGAATGCTCATATGCAGTGTTATTTTCAAGTTATTTTGGGTCTCTCCACAAAAATAACTTATATTAATTTTTATTCTTTTATTTTATTTTTTTTTTTTAACTTTTTCGCAATTTTTTTTCTTTGAAGTGTGTGAATTATATTCTTTCTTCCAATACTATAGGTGATTTGTTAATATCTGATATCATTTTTTATTCTATAGCACCTAACGAAGAAAGTGCCAATGTCAGCCCTATACTAGCTATATTAATCGGAGTTGTGGCAGTATTAGTAATAGTTGCTATAGCTATAATAATCGTAATGAAGAAACAAGGAAGAGACCCTGACAAAGGTAACATCCACTCATTTCATAGAAATGTATTATAGAGATAAATATATTCTGCTTAGCAGTAAGTTCGTATCTATACTCAGGTTAAAGGAATTTTATTGAGCTTATTATGCAGTTTAATTGATTGATAATGAAATTTAAAAGTTTAAAATTCGTGCAGCTTTCTTTTCTTTGTGTGTGTGGCGTAATTGGTGATATTCTTATAGAAAATGTTAAAGAAATAAAAATTATTTTTTCAATCGAAACACTATCTATTTTTATTTCGTTTATATAGATAAAGAAATAAATTTATAATTTTTTTTTTCAGTTTAAAAATATAATATACTAGTATACATATCATAAACAGAGAATAGTAATAACAATTTCCTTTCAAAATAAAATTTATCAAAATTGCAATAACGAGATACTAAATTATTTAAAATTGCTTTGAATTATATAACAGGCATCTGTTCAACTTTATTTCTAAATCCATTAAGGACGAAAGGGCTCCATTCAAGGGGCACGTCAAAAGGGCTTTGTTATGCAGTCTTTGTTATATTCCTGAATATATGAGATTTTTTATTGAATTGTACTCACACTTAAATATAATCAATTTAAAAGTGATAAAAAATATTTTTGTCAAATATACGCAAAAATCTGAAATTTTTAATGGTAATTAACAACAATGTCAACCATCACTGACAAGAAACTAATGATGGTAAAAACAAATTTATGACTTTACTTTTATGTATATTAACCATAAACATACAATGGACGAAATAATTGGAAAATATTGATTCACTAGTAATTTACGGCCAATTATGTTAGTCGACGTTCAAAAATGAAAACGTATATACGGTTTTGTCTTATATACGGTACACAAGAGGTTTGACGAAATTCAAGAGGCGATAAAGGTTACGCATTATTTTGGTGTTGGCGACAATTTTGAAAATCGCGCCAGAGTCGTACCGTATACTAGGATTTTACCAAAAATACATACCACATTGAAAGAAAAATTACATAATTTAAATTTTATAAGATTACTTTTTAACTCCTGTTCTACCTTATGATTAATAATGTACAAACTCTGTATGCAAAATTTCAAGTCATTTTATAAGGAACTTTTAAATTTCTCATGGTTGCTGTCAACATAAAATTAAAAAAAGAAGAAGAAAAGATAGAAAAGAAGAAAGAGAAAAAGAAAAATCGCATTTAAAATTTTCAGATACGTTACACGAACACATACACAACTATTTACGTCACCAAACGAAAATGAGAAAATACATAAAAAAATACTTTGCCAGATTCACCAGACATATTGAAGTGCTTAAAATTATTTAGTTAAAAATTAACATAAAAAAAGAGTGAAAACTGCATTTTTCATTTGTCCTTTAAACTTTGACTTCCAGGTGACAGAATGTAACTTCCGGTTTGTCGTCTCTCACAAAAACTGGTATATCAGCATTTTAATCAACATATGACGAAAACAGAAGTTGTTTTTATAGCTAAGAATGCAGCCTTTAAAAAATGTTAAATAAAGCAAATGAGAATTTTATCTAAAATCGGCCTTTTGAACGAGTTTGTTTACCTTAAGAACGTAAATTAATCACTGTTTATAGCAAGAAATACTGAAGAAAGATGTAAATTACCATGATTTGCATAAATATAAAATCTTATATTTATCATTCTACCGATATTTTACATGCATATAATATCATGTTAAGTAATATTTAAGTAAAGGATTAACGCTTATTAAAAACATATTTTTAATTTCAAAGTAATTCAGCGCAATTCCTATCGATATTAAAACCTAATAACGAGTTGTTTTTTAAATTTATCGAAAATGCAATAAATACACGTAACATAAGGTAATAAACTGTTAAGAATATCCTTTAATTGCGTATTTATTTAGTTTTAGCTTCCTCTGGTATTCTGTTAGCGGGACGACGAGATTCAAAAATATATTGTATGTATACCTTCCCGCTTAAAATAAATGTCCGTTAAAGTAACTTAAAGTACTAATTTTAGCAGTTACATAGATTGATTCTCTAAACACAAGACCTTGGGAGATGTTAATATCTAAAACGCAATGTAATTTGTTTAGAATATATGCGAATATGTAGCTTGATTTATGATAAACACTTCCATATTATAGAATGTCTTGAAAATACCCACCTGTTGGACTCATAGTTGTATATTGCAAACGTTCCTGCAAGATGTCCTCATTGATCGAAGCAACTGAGTATCAGATGTTAATGCACAGTTTCAATACAATGCAATACTTGTTGGTAAACATGTTTCTGGATCTACAGGAAAACACCAGTTGGTATTAGGTCATGAGATCTTGATGGCCACATATTTTTCGGAATCATTCTGTTTAAAGAAAGATTTTTTTATTTCAGATATGCTTCCTTCCCATGTGAGTTTATGGTACTATCCCACTGAAAACAGCCCTTTTGAGCATACAGTTATCCAGCCAGTTCAGAAATTCATTGAACATTTGTGTGTCCAAGATAGATTCAAAGTGTCGTAGAAAGCAACTGGTCTTATTCTACGACATCTGTACTCTGCGTTGCTTCCAGCAGATTTAATTTTTACTTTCTCAAATTAGATTCTTATTACCGCATGTGTGGTATTTCTATACGTTTTCAACGAGTGATATTTGCTTTTTCTAGAACCTTTCAAAGAAAAAATTAACATATAAAACTATTGTTGCGAATTCTACGTTCAATAGTAAAACGCTTCATTGCATTTATTCTATTTGCTTAAAATCAATTTTTTTCTTCCCTCGTGTTGATGATACTGATGGCCAGAGATGCATTTTATTACTGATGGTGTCATAATATAGATGACATGCATTGTTATATCATAGCCCATGTTATATTGTTATATCATATATTGTTATATTATTGTATATCATATGTATATATATTATATATATATTATTGTTATATCATATGTAGGAATTTTCCCTAGAGATATCCGTCTAAGTGTTCAAAATATTATGTGTAGTAATAATCAGTAGTTATCATTCAAACTACTAAAACGATAAAGAGAACGCAATCTACAGCACAGAGAAAACTGATCCGATTAACAATAACAAAAGCAGCTAACTAAACAACAACTGAGACGAGATGTTCTTTGTCTGCTCTGTAGATTCAAATCGGTCGCGAAAGATTCTGGTAATTTCTGCTTCTCAAGATTTCTAGAAAGCAAAAGAGTAGAATTACGGTTATAGCTAACATATAAATCAATTACATTTATTTAGTTTCAATACAAATAAAAGAGTTATCCATTTATTCATTGTTAAATGCCCCACATGCTCTTATACTATTTTTACTTTTTCGGCGTAGTTTTCTCTTGAAATTTATCACGCGTTGCATTGTTCGGAGAAATAAAACAATTTTAATAATAATTCTACTAACATTAGCTATCAAAATACGAAATTGGTAACAATATATAGGGAATTTACTTAGAGTTTCAAGAAATGTGCATTTAGGTTTCTCTGTGATAGTATAGGGTTTTCCTTACTTTGAATAACAAATTTATTTTAAGTTTTCCCTTTCTCAACTTCCCCTCACATTATCTCGCCAGGATGTAAATTTAAAGTTAAGTGAAGTGTTATTTAAACGTGTGATTATTTCAGTTTATTCAGAGCGTGTTTCGCTAACCAAGCGCACGTTTCGTTGTTGTTTCGCGGTCACGCTAGTAAGCCTCTTGGCCTTATCAGTTTAGTATTACGTCGGTTAGAATTTGTAAGTCCACCCCTTATGCATAATTTTGAAGTGCGTTCTTGCACTCGTTTATTTTCAGAATTTGATTTGTATTATAGTCTACGTTTAGTTACTGCCTGAAATGAACAGTGTTTTGTAACGCACAAAGTCCGTGCTTTTCTGCCAAATTAGTTTTATTTAATAAAGGGTTATTTTGAACCCAGAGATAGGTCTTACAATTGAAATACATTAATAATTGAAAACGTGAAATTCCATTTCGACGATTTCAGATTTTTGACTGTACCATCGTGTCCAACATAGTTAAATGTTTTTAATGTTAAAAAAGGAAGAATTTATTTGGCTAATATATGTGTGAAATTTCATGTTGTTAATTTTAATATGTTTTATTCTATATCTTCCTTTTCGTAATTTATATTTAGTTCTATCGTCAGAGTCGTCCGTTTTGTAGCCTCGAAAATATATCTCATGATTTTTGTTTTAATTGTCTAGGTGATTTTGCTTTAAAAGTTTGAAGTTATTGTCTTTATTATTTTATTGGCAATGGGTTTAGTGCCAAAATTGTAATTTTAAGAGTCGCAGGTGTGAAACCAGCTATGAATTTTCCTTCCCAGCATCTCGTCGTCAGTGCATCGAATTTCCTTTATTTCTGCAGAATATCGATTAGAGAATATAGAATATTGCTGTAGGCTCCAATTTTTGGAATAAGTAAGAAACACCGTTTTACCGCTTCGAAAATACCAAACCTGGTTTAGCAACATACAACTGCCCTATAAATTTCGTCTCCAGTCGATCTATTTATACGATGTGGTAGGAAACATCCTCTATATAAAGAAAAATGAGTGAGTTAAAGATACTGAGCACGCCAATAATACTTTAAGCATATCGGGGGGGGGAAGTTAAACGCAATGTACGTTTATCATGCAATTCCATAGTACAAGGTCCTCCACAATTAAAGAAAGTTAGCATTTACTGCATATGAGCGAGCCTTTGAATTTCTTAATTACATTTCTCTTAATTGCATATCATGATTTTTAAAAATAAAGGTGCAAGCTTTAACGGTAAATAAAAATTTAAAAGCATTTTATGAGTTTCTCTCTACTTCAACCAAAATACGTGCATGAATTTGTGAATTAAGCTTCATTATAATAAACAGGTTACATTTAATAAAAATAAAGAAAATGTTTGATTTACATTTCTGAATGTGGTATGGAAAATTTTAACTTAAAGAAGAACTACTGAGCCTCAGTGTAATTTGTTAATGAATACTTTTAGATACATTTGTGTCGCTAACTTCGAGGAAAATATTTCCTGTAGACGTAGTTATTAATAAGATAACACTTTTTTTACATATTTATTGCAAATACACCAACAATGGATTAAAATGTAATATAAAAGAATTTAGCCTAAATTATTTTGAATGAATTATTTCCTTAATATGTAAATCAAATTTAAATGGTGCTGTTACTACTATTTATTCTAAAATTATATCACAAATTTTCTTTCGACGTCTACAGTAGCATATGCAATATTCATTATCTATTTCTTAATTATTAAATAACAGAATTTTTCGAGCTAGTATAGTTAAACGTTAAATATGTGTTTCCGTTTTGTATTGTAGTTTGCAATGTAAAGCAGTAAATAATTTATTTGCGGAGTATTCCTCTTTTTAATTAAAGTAATTCTCCTTTTAAGGAGTTCAAATACAGGGTAATGAATGATACTAGCATTTGCAATTGCATTTTTAATGTGATGTGAATTTCTAATTGTATTCGATCATTTATAATGATTTTATTACGGTTTCTAATTTAATTTAAACGTAAAAATTTCATATTTGTATTTCTAAATTTTGTATTTTATTTTCATTATCGTTCATTTCACCGGCTAAACATATAAATGGAATCAGATGTAATAATTAAAAGAGGAAAATTATTTTATTTATGAAACGAGTAGAAATGAATTATCGTCAGGCATCGCTCGCATTCTCAGCTCTCCTTTTCTTATAATTTGCTTGTATATAAAATATATTATATATATTATATTTCCTATTATTTGCTTGTATATAAAATATATTATATATATTATAGTTCTTATAATTTGCTTGGTATATAAAATATGTTATATAGATTATATTTGTTATAATTTGCTTGTATATAAAATATATTATATAGATTATATTTCTTATAATTTGCTTGTATATAAAATATATTATATATATTATATTTCTTATAATTTGCTTGTATATATTTAAATATAAAAAGCAGGAAATTCCAGTATTTTATTCAGCGAGGATGTGAACTATTACAGAATTCATATCACAAATGAGCAAAAATATAATACGATATTTTTAAGAGATTTATTATTGGAATCGTGTATCTCTCTGATAGAGGAAAATAGTTTATATACAAGTATAATGATAGACTATATATGTTTTAGAATTTGAATGTTTCTGAGCACAAATTAGATAAAAAATAACTTGTAATATGAATATTAAGAATACAAAACAAATTAGGGAAGAAGAATATGCCTTTAATAATTTTTAAAAATTAAAATTATATAGCCTACGTCAAAACTTACATACACACTTTACCGAAAGAAACTTTTATACCTGTACAGTCATTTAGAGCAAGGTACCTGTACAAACCTGTACAATTACTTACTGTTTTCAGTTCCTAATTTTTAAAATCAGTATAAAGTTTTTCGAGGAAGTTTAAATGCATCGTTTAGCTAAAACTGAGACAATAAATGATGCTGGACATTATATATAATTAACTATTTATTTCCTCGGCAGATGGTGCTACGTTCGTTTTCGCTTTGCTTTGCCCATTGATTTCCATATAAAATTATTGCCGCTCCTCCCAAATTAGCCATTACATTTTCTTCTGAAGTAGAGAGAAGTATATTTGATCATTCACGGAATCTATTATAGAGATTTGTTGAAAATCTCTTCCAATGTTAGGATCCATTTTATGTCATTTCAAATTTAACTTTGACTACTTCTTTTCTAAATAAATATATAAATTATTATAGTTCATATACCATTGTTAAAACATGAACCATTATAAATGTATGAAATAATGCGATTTATGAATGTTCATAAATTGAATTTTTTGCGCAAAGTAGAATTCCATGTGCATGATAAATTACTTATTTCATAATTTATATGTCATAAGAGTAAAATTTTTTGCAATTACATAAAGTTGTGTTTTTTTTTTCTTTAGGTCCTCCGGTACAGGATAACGTCATCAAGTAAGGATTGTTTTCTTAAGGATTGTTTCCTTAATTTTGAATACATATTTAAAAGAATTTAAAAAATTAAATATATCGGCTAGAATCATGTTTTATAAAGAATTTTTCTTTAAAATATTAAAGTAAGTTTTATTCAATTGTTTTTAAATCAACAGATGCGAAATGCCCTTAAAGAAAGACACAGATGACATACCAGACTCAACAGTGGAAAGCCCTGACGTCATTCCAAATACTAATGAATCTCAAGGTATGGCGTACTTTCATTTGGTGAAGATAGCAAAACGATTAATTTGCATGAAAACTCTAAACTGTACAGACGTGAATTTGAATATCCCCAGAAATTAGCTCTTTTCGGAAATTTTCGTCGCCATTCAAATTCTACAATCCCTTAATTATTATTGATGGCTCGGTGAAGTTTAGATTGCGGAAGGTGATACCAAGCATGTTCCAAGATGATATGTTAAAACATTTTATAGAAGTACATTTTAATGTCTTGGTGCTTTAATATATCTTCGGCAATTAAACTCTAATAAATGCAGGATATTTAAATGCATTGCAGTTTTGGTAAATATTTTGTAGTTTAAGTTAAAATTAAATACAGTTATACATCTGAGGTCCTTATGCCTTTTACTTTCCGTTTTAGTTTATCTTGCTGACACTGGAGAAATAACAGCGAAAGATGAGACAACATACGAATTCTTCAAGTCCAAAGATTATCCATATGATTATATAACAGCAGTTAGATCTCAAAAGTCTGCTCCGGTAAGTTGATACCATCAATATATAAGCAAGCACTGTGTATGTATGTTGCTTAGTTAATTTAATGATTTCCTAAAATGTGACTTGTTTTGTTTTGCTATTACTAACTATACGTTATCTTATTTTATTCTGGGTTTATCAATATCAGATTTTGATAGTCTTAGAAAATTCCAAACACTGTTAAGAAAGAAAATATTTGAATAAATTATTGCAAAAATTCTGAGTTTTTCCCCTTTTAATAACAGTAGTCCAAAGTAAAATATGATAATAATAATACTGTTATCATATTTTACTTTGGATTTTATCAATATTTTTAAAATCTAAACGATAGCTCAAAACAAATTATTTTAATTAAAATTAATTATTGTCTAAAATATGATTGTTTTACATTGTTATTGCAATAGTATGCTATTTTATTTTACTTTGTACTTTTTCAGTATGAAAGCTTGATATTCTGAGTCAGTGAAAGTCATACACATCTAAAAAGAAAGCATACTTACGTCACATTTTTAATTACATTATTAAGCATATTTACGTCACATTTATTAAGAAAATTTACTTCACATTACAAAATAAGTAATTACAATAGTAAATATTAATTATATTCAAGAGCAAATTCACTTGTTTGCATCGACGTAAAAGAACATAATGAATCACTTTTGCCCAATATCTTTAATGAACGCTGAACTTCTTACGGAAATAAAATATTTAAAACACGTGCTTGAAATTGTATGAATCAGAGGTCAGAAGGCTTCTAGATGTTTACTTGAATCCAATGCAAATCCTAAATGATGTTCCTATCCCTCGTATATTTCATATAAGAAAAACCATAAGAAGAAAGAAATGTATTTATTAACAAAGAGTTTTAATTAAAGCAAAATTTATAATCTGCGCTTTCTGAAAATAAAAACAAAATATATTTTAAATTACACAATCCATTTCTTTTTAAGAAATTTCTATTAATTTGACATTCAGATAATTTATCAAATAGAATATTACCAGTCTTTTCTTCTATATTTATACCTATATTATGGTACATGTATTATCTATATTATGGTACCCTGTTTTAAGGAGATTTCGAATGTTCCAACTCTTTATGTCTAAATGTTTACTTAAGCTCTGTGAAAAATTCAAGGAAATGTTATATTTTAATCATTGTAAATTATATTCACGGAAATTCCGTAAACTTTCACTTGTAAGCCAACACATTCTGTTAAGCCGATGTATAAGGTATGACAATAATGTTCAGTTAATGATGCCTTAGGGAGAGTTGTTTCAAACTGACGGACCCCCGAAGCAAATTGATGCAGCATGTGAATTTGCTTATTTTCATTATGTATGCGTTGCAAAGATTTCAAGATTTTTGGTAGTTGAAGGACGAGTTTATGTTATTTTCATTAACATTAAAAACGGATAAAAATAACGTATCATAAATTTTATAAATACCGCTATTTAATTTAAAATATGATATGAATCTTATTCAGATATTCGAAGATGCAAATTTTAATAACTTTTATTTGAATTTTCTGAAAAATAAAGAAGCTCGGTTATGAACTTTCACACTGAGAATAATCGCTTTCTTTGGGAATATGGTATGCGAATAGTTTTTCTTACGGTTGAAAATTAATAAGAATACTGCTCAAACGAAAAATATCTACAAGCCGTGATGAAGATAATTTCCAGTAATTTCTCTCCAAGGCTACAAACTTTATCTGAACTGAAACGCCATCAAGTGTCAAGCTGTTATAAGAAATAAAAATAATAATATGTAATAAATTATTATTAATAATCATATATAATACAATTATTTAAGTACAGACATTTGTATTTTTATTTATACTTCGAAGAAACATTTAATAAAAAAAGAGAAAGAGACTAAGTTGTCATTATTTATTCTCAAGTTTGCCCCAACCAGGCACATTTTATAATTTGCTTTTTTTATTTAAATTAAATTAAATTAGATAATAATAAATTAAGCGTGTTAAAATTGTTTGAAATAAACGTCAATCTGAAAATTTACTATTTAGCTGCCAATATTTTGTGACCAACCTAACTGGCTTGGAGGTAACAAATTTTAGATTTTAGATTTATGTAGGTTTTTGATAAGATTTAGTAGCTGAAATTTAAAATTTATTAAAAATATTTTTATTGTCTCGGTAACAGTTTTCATATAGTTAAAAAAACTCTTTGCCCGTCAGCTGTTTGCAGATCGTGCCTTCAACGACGTATGCAATTTGAGACCATTACCATAGAATACGCAAGCGTGGTAGTGGATGAAATGAATTGAGAAAAAGTGTGTTGGGTCTAAAGGTGGGATAGTAATAAGTACTTCGGATCTCTGTTAGCGATAATCTAATAGGAACAGGTATAACAATGGCTGTAAAATTGAAAAACTGACAGATTTAATGTTTTGTTTCAAGCTTGAATAAACTTGTGAAAGTAAATCATAACATCGTTAAACAACCAGATAACCGGCTATTCTTTCATCTTAAAAGCCATCCGGCTTCTTTTGTTCCACTTCATTATATATGTACCCCGTGAAGATTAGGCTAGAGTTCATTTGTATTATCTTCTAACGAGAAATAATTTTTAATTACTATTTATTGTCTTTCAGAGAGAGGAAGAGATCACGTATGCTGAGTTAGCGCACAAGGAACAGCAGTGTCCAGCCGTCAATCGCATGCACCCACCCACAGAATACGCAGAGCTTGATTTCCAGAGGAGGATAGGGCCTTACCAGTGGCCTCCGTCGACCAGGCAAGAGACTGTAACGCGTACGTCTTTGGAGGCTGGAGAGTTTCCCCTAACTGGAAGCTCATCACACAAGAGCAAAGTGAGGTTTTGCTCATTATCTGTAACTAAATTTAGGCAAGCGTATCCTACATTATATCGAAATTTGCGCACAGCCATTTTAAGCTCCGTATAGCAGTTCCCGTACTGCAGTTCGTTTCCTATTCTTATGCAGTCAATGGTTACAGCCGAAAATACCGTTCACGAAAACGTCACAGAGAAAACAACGCAAGGCATGCTGTGGTACAAAACATCGGGGGGGGGAGGGGGAAGTTAGCAAAGAAAAGTCATCATGGTACAAAATATCGTCGTCGAAAATAAAGCGGCTCAAAAACTTCGCAGTTTAAAAATAACGCAGTCGAAAATATTGCGGTAAAAATAAAGTACCTATAATCATCGCTTGACGATAACATCGCACACATGCGTTTTCCAAATCCCACGCTGACATATTATATAGCTGACTTTCGTCATAGCTAACAAATCGACATCCAAAAAATTGATTGCATGCTATACATGAAAATTCTAATGGCACTAAGAATAAGCGGAAACAAAACAAAATATTATTTTCTTTAAAACAATATCAGATTAATAAATGTGAAAGAAAATAATTTGATAATTAACTAAGCAATTTTTATAGAGGTAACTTCATGCTGTTATTTATCTTCCGTTCTCTAAGCATTTATAGTTATCTCTAAGTATTTCTCATAAAACATTGTCAGTAAAACTATAGAAATAGTTAATTTATTAATGACCTTTGTTAATTAACTATTTAAATTTAAAATTCTCTTAAATTCTATAAGTTGCATTAAATTTCTACTCATTTTCAGTTTTTAAATGCATAAGTTTCCTTCACATTTTTCAGCATCAATTTATTAACTTATTTAAAAATATGAAATAACGAAGAAAAAGTGCCCCTTCTTCCTTCTGCTCCAAAATCATTATGCGAACATGCATTTATAGCTTTTAAAACCTAAAAAAAAAATCTGAAATGTTTCAGATTTTAAATTACGTCCAAAGGGGCGTTTTTTAACATTTTGTGTGTTACCTTTCTTTATTAAATATCATGTTCCTCGCACTTAAACCATAAGATCCAGTGCAACAGCAATATCGCAAAATAGTTTTAAAACGAGCATATCTTTAGAATTTCCGATACAGAGACTCACGCGCTGGAGATAAATTTTCTTTAATGTTTTTTTCTGCACAACGTTGCCATTGCTCGCTTTGAAATCCTTGAGTTTGTTAATCAAAAATTCGTCAAAGTTTTAAAAAATAGGAAATCGATCAATAAACAAATTTCAAATTTCAAATTTGGTCTTCCACATGCTCATATTCGTTGGAGGATTACGTTATTCAAAATTCGATGACTCTATGTACCGTTGTTTTATCACAATACGAGAAATATACATACATTTATGCAGATTTTTCATTATTTAATTTCTTCAAATATAATGCAGGACTCTAACATTTTGTGGCAACAGTTTGAAAAGTGAACCGACATTTATAAGTCCGACGCAAAATGCCAAAACGAAATTAATTGTCCTTCGGGATTCAAATCTTTTTGGACTAAAAAAAATCTGAAATGTTTCAGATTTTAAATTACGTCCAAAGGGGCGTTTTTTTAACGTTTTGAGTGTTACCTTTATTTATTAAATATCATGTTCTTTGCACTTAAACCATAAAATTCAGTTCAAGAGCAATATCGAAAATAATGTTAAATTAAGCATATCTTTAGAATTTCCGATATACACAGTCTCGCGAGCTGGAGATAAAAGTATTTTTTTTTCTATATAACGTTGCCATTTCTCGCTTTTAAAGCATTGAGTTTATAAATCAAAAATTCGTTAAAGTTTTACAAAATATAAAATCTATAATAAAACAAATTCCAAATTTCGGATTTCAGATGCCCATATTCGCAGTAGGATTTCGTCATTCAAAATTCGATGGCTCTATGTACCATTGTTTTATCACAATGCGAGAAATAGACAATCATTTATGCAGATTTTTAATTATTTAATTTCTTCAAATATAATGCAGGACTCTAACATTTTGTGGCAACAGTTTGAAAAGTGAACCGACGTTTATGAGTCCGACGCAAAATCGCAAAACGAAAACAATAGTCCTTCAGGGACAAAGCCCCTTTGGACTAAAAAAAAAAAAAAACATGTAAGCCATGTTATCGTTATGCGATGCTCTGTAGGTACTTTATTTTTTGCCACGATATTTTCAACGACGATATTTCTAAACCGCGAAGTTTTTGAACAGCTTTATTTTCGAAGGCGATATTTTGTACCACGATGTTTTAGATCTGTGATGTTTTCGCTTTGCTTTCTTTTCTCCCACTATGTTTTGTACCACGACGTTTTCGCCTTGCGTTATTTTCTCCGCGACGTTTCCGTCCGCAGCGTTTTTGCCGCGATGTTTTCGGCGGACACCGCAGTTAATACTTTATTGATTTATCTAATGTCTAGGACGATTGATTCAAAACATTCACGGTTACCTCAAATTCGTGCCTAATCCAATGGCAAAGGAAAAAACATAAGAAAAAGGGATAACTTATGTTATAAATTATAGGAAGTATAGCTAACAATTTACTTATATTTACAAGCGGTTCCATCTGAAGAATAAGTTCGTTTGTTTTCGTAAATGAATTCAGTGTCCAAAATTGAAGAATAAACGTCATTAGAAATGAAGAAACTAAGCTAAAAATGGCATTAAAGAATATTTATGGGAGAATTTCGACAATATTATTGAATTTAAATTCGCGTAAAATAATCGTATAGAATTTTTGTTATTTCACAGAGTTTAGTTAAATATTTATTGCATTTATTTCATTACTTAATGATTCCCTGCTGATTTTAAAATATTTACATAGTTCGTATACACATTTAAAGCTGTGATACCTTTATTTATTTATTTATTCAGGCATCTATTTATTTGCAAGGCTTTACCATCCTTTGTGTTCTTGATTTTAAATTTATTATTATTTTAATTTTTTTGATTTTACTTAATAAATAATAGCAAATTTATGAAAAACGTTTAAATAGTGTAAAATTATCCTTTGTTTTCGAAACTTTTTAGTATATTTATTATTTTTGTCGTATAATAATTTGTAACTCATATTTGTTTCTTTACAGGAGAGCTTACACATTCCTGAAACAACAACCGAAACGACGCCTTTGTGAGATTAAATTAACTTAATAGAGGTGATGGAAACTGTATACTCAAAACCACATTCTGCCAAAGTTGTAACATTTGAAAGGTGGACATACATGTGAAACGTTGAATATTTTACAAAAAGGAGAAAGACATGCGTCGAAATGCTCACCTTATCTTCAGAGATCCCGTCCTATGAAGATGATTATGTGACTGAGAAGTACTAATGACCAATAATGGATCATGGAACCATGTTTTGCTCACTAATACCACCGGCATGTACTTTACTTCAAGCTTAAAGTGAAGACGAATATTTTACAGGCTCAGGAATGTAACTTGAAGTACTTATTCTGCCATGGGCACCCTAGACGTGATAAATGTTTATGATTGTTTACTTTATGCGTGACGTCATGCTAAGAAGAAAGTTCATTACAGTTTACACAATTTAGTATACAAGATCCTTTAATGACTTATTCGAAAAAACAATGATACATACTGGCTTTTGAACAAAATACCTACGTGATTTCAGTGAACTGACTAGCATTCACAAATGTTTAACATAATCACAATTCATTTTAGTACAAGGATACATTAAGTGCATTTAAATCAGATTTCAGAAAGAAATTTTTCTCTGAAGGAATGTTTTAAAAAAGTACGCTCTGCAATTTTAATTCATTGAATGATTCGTAAAAGGCTTTGACACTGCAATTTTGCTAGTTCGTTGTTTTCAGTGAGATTGCTCTAAATTACGACTGTATAAAAATAAAATGGTTACAATAATGCTCAAGGTAAAAAAAAAAAAAAAAAAAAAAACTATTCAGAGGATTATCACACTATGTATATAATAATCATTTAGTGTTCATTCAGTTCAATCAATTTTTAAGATTTTGTACAACATGCATTTGTCATTTCCATCAATTGTTATAAAGAATATTTTATTCATTTTCTTTTCATTCATAATTTATATTTCTGAATACCGAAAGTAAAGGAAAATTCTAGAGCATATAAGCGTTATCAAAATCATATTGCATAACCCATCAAATATAAAATTATGCTACTGATGTTGGAGACAAGTTTTGACAGCATATACAATACACCGAGCTAAAGATTCCGTTTGTGATATGTAAGTATATGTTTGTAAGTTTTATAGCATATTTTTAATGCAAATCTAGCATTTTTCTGAAATATTTATGATAATTATCTTCAGGTATGACGATGAAACTAAACTAGCCCTTAACAAAATAAAAAAAAAAACAAGTTGAAACTGTTTCCAAACGGCCGCTGGTGTTCAATGCGTAGACTTACTGTTGCTTTCATGACTGCGGATTTTTTTCTCGAAAAAGCATTTGTTACGAAATGTAAATAATATTTATTCATGTTTGAATGCATTTCTATTCGTGTCTGTTTCATGCAATATTGGACAATGTTACGAGAAATAACAAACATAATTCAATAACTGTTCAGTAATATTTCGTGTGTGTAAGATCTATAAAGGATTCTTGGGGACTTTGTAGCATATCATGTGAGTGTGGTTTGAGATAAAATTCTTCAAAAATCTTCTTCCATCGGTGAAATGAATTTTCTTGAAGAGTTCCATGTCCACAAAGATTAAGTAATAATCAAAGTCCAATCCATTCTTTCCTAGCGCTTTTAATGTTCTATTTATTTATTTTAAAAATTCAATACTATTATTACCGACAGATGTAGCTACCTTCTAGTTCGCTTTACTACCGTAGGGTATAAATATAACTGATGTGCCTACTGGTTTCCATACTAAGAGGACCTACTTAAGCGTAAAATTCAATTCCACCCTCACCTGGAATTCTCATTTTACTACAGCCATTAACTGGTGAGTCCAGTAATTTGAATAACATCCTTATTCCAACATCAATGCTTGACCTCGCTAGGAAAAGGTGCATCTACACCTCCATTCTTCGCTCAATATTAATCTATGCATACCCTGCCTGGTGCACGGCTTCAAAATCTGAGTATTTAAAGCTTCAAACTTTTCAAAATAATTTAATAGCGGCAGCTGTATGGTTCAAACGCAAAGCAGAAGTTCATAAATATCTTAAACTCGAAGGCATCAAAACTTACATCCCGGAAGGATAAATAACGACTTCTATACCAATATCACTACCAACGATATAGTTAATTACGCGGATAATTTCAGATATGGACTCCTAGAAGAGAACTTCTGCCTTATGCTACACACCTTTTTACTTACGATATTTAATGTATTTTTGCCTAAAGTTTTACATTCACAATTTCATTTCATATTATCACCTCCTGACACACACTCCTTTTCCCAGCAACATTCACGGCAGTCAGCACTTGGGAGGGTGACCACCAAGTGACTAGCGCAAGCCACTCATTTAACTTTGACACTTATTTCATATATGTATTACGTAGAGCTTCGCTTCTCCTGCACTGTCTTTCACATGTCAAGGCCAGCCATTTTTTTTCTTTGCACTTCACTCGTAAGTGGTACTACACTGACTACCAATAAGTATTTGGACACCTAATGCAAATGACGATATCTGCGGTTCTAAGGTACATCACGGAATCCGCTGGTATATATCGTGTAGGAAACAGCATCGGCTTTAGTCGCATGCAAGATGCTTCGCAGTTCGGAGCTCTCTGATTTCGAGAAAGGTATAATTATCGGGTATCACAAATGTGGCCGATCCTTAAGGGACATATCTAGCGATCTGAAGTACCCAAAATCGACAATGGCCTATGTTATTAAGAAGAGAAGGTGAACGGTGATTGTCGGAATGTGCTCCGAGTCGGCAGACCAACGAAACTGGGAGATAGAGACCAACGAGTGCTGTCCAGAGAAATTCGGAAGAACCGCACCCAACCGAAGGCCCTCATCCGCGAGAAGTTTCAACAGGTATCCGGGAGTATTGTTTCAATGAATATCATCCGTAAGGAAGCACATCTGCTTGATACGGATATAAGCACATTTGCTTGGTACCACTTTTCATGGTCGTGCTGCTGCCCATAAGCTTTTGATCACAAAGTCCAGTCGCGCTGCTCGGTTAATGTGGTACAAAGCACATCGAAATTGGACCGTAGATCAGTGGAAACGGATTCTTTGGAATGACGAATGAAGGTTCACCCTTTACCGTTCGGATGGCAGGATCTAGCTCTGCCGTCTACCTGGAGAACATCTCCTGCCAGAATGCATTGTGCCAACAGTCAAGTTCGGCGGAGCAGAGCGATGCAGAAACCTTAAGTGGAATTACGGTCTGGGGGTGTTTCTCCTGGTATGGGCTGGGACCCTTGGTCCCCATTCATGGTAAGCTCAACTCCGATGCCTACTGCACTATTTTGGATGACAATGTGCTTCCTACGTTGCGGCAGTTTTACGGGTTGGACCCCTGTTACTTTCAGGACGACAATGCGAGTTGTCATGTTTCGACGTTAACCAAGGCTTGGTATGGTGCCAATGGAGTTCATCGAATGGACTGGCCTGCCCAGAGTCCAGACCTGAACCCCATCGAGAACCTCTGGGACGAGTTGCATCGCCGAATTCAGGGGTGCACTACCCGTGCAAAATCGGTGAAGGAACTTCTATGTCTTCTCCAAGCCGAGTGGAAGAAAATACCACTAGCTGTCATACAAAGACTTGTGGAAAGTATGCCCCGGACGGTCCACGCTGTAATTACCTCTCGTGGAGGCTCTACCAACTATTGATTTTGAATAAAGTTAGTTTTTCTTTTCTAACACAGGTGTCGAAATACTTATTGGTAGTCAGTGTATTTGTGGTTTCACTTGCGTTGTTTCTCTTAACTAGGGTATTTGAGGTGGTGGTAAGAGCGAGATAATATTCGCGCTAACAACCAGCATAACAGAAAGTATCAATGTATCAAAGCTGGTTTTCACTCTTGCAGATTTCTTTGCTCCTAATGAAGAGGGACCTGTACCTGTTTGCCTTCGAAATCGATTGAGTTATTGACTAAATCTACTGAAAACGAGGCTCTTGTTTTTTGCTAATTTTATGCTTCACTTTGGCTTGTTTTACTTCTGTTTTGATCTATAAATGAGTTGTCATGTATACTTGTATAATTCAAAGGTACAAAGATCAGATTAAAGTTTTGCGTTAGGAAATTGAATGCTTTTGATGTCTTTTCTCGTCTACGTAGCTGCTCGCTGTCTTTTTCCGTTTCAATAAAATTTTTCGTTGACCCATTTCAAAATTTTATTAATTTCAACAAAAAATTTTACAAACTGTACAGCTATTCACGACCGCATCCAACAAGCAATTGAGCCAAGGACGTTCACCAGATGTGGATGCTTCCGAGTGGGGACGCACGGCCACGCACTAAGCGTGTGCACAGCAGATAACGTCATCAAAATTCTCGTGATTTTTCCAAATTTGTCACTTAGCTGTAGTTGAGTTGTAATTTCGAATTCTAAAATTCTTTTTGTATTGTATAGTGTACATTTCCATCTATCAAACGACACATAAAAAAAATCCAGAGTTTTTGCCTAACATTGCTGGACTTATTAGTGCAAACTGAGCCCATCACATCTACAATTTTTTGATATTTAAAAAACGTTAATAATGTGATTGAAAACAGCTTCTTTTACTGTCAATTCCAGTTGCTCACAAAATAAAATTATTTCATTTATTTTTCCTTAACGCATCGCGCAAATACCAACCAACAACCTGATGGATGGCATCAGCATTAGTTCATGCCAGCTATTAAGTATTCAAGTTTAGAAAACTCGAACTTATATCCTCTAATAATGGCGTTAAAATATCACAATAAGATGCTAATTGAGCGATGCAGAAACCTTAGAATTTGCAAACCTAAAGTCTGGTTCCATGCAGAGAGTAAGGCGACGTATTTTTCCGTCTTAGACTTTTTTGTGCAGCGACTGTGAACCAAGAAGAAGGTTTTAAATAAACCTTTTTTAGTGTAACTTCAAAAACCAACTGTACACCTGACTCGTTCATCACAAAAACAGTCACCACTGCTTGCGGAATCTCACAGATTACATCTATGAGAGTATAACTTGCACATAGCAAGGTCCTACGCGTCTCTGACGTTTCGCCGTCGCCATTTCACCCCGGCCATTTCGCCGTCAAGACATATTTTCTTTACATGACTGTATTATAGCTTGCCGTATTATACTCGTATTAATTTTATTTCGTTTAACAATTCTGTTTACAATTTGTATACTTAATAAAAGTTGCTTGTAATATAGTGTTTACAAGTATCAGATATAAAGAAATTACACATAGTTAATATGGAAAATTATGTCAGTATCAAAGAGAACTGAGGCTAAACGTCTGATGTAACAGAAGTTACATTATCGATTTTAAAATTATGGGGTTACAACATTTACATAATTCGTCAAAATTTCTTGAAATTTTGATCGCCTAACTCAGCGAAATCACTCATACAAGCAGGAAATTCACATTTTTATGAAATCTGAATGGGAAACGGAATTACTTTCTAATCTTGTCAGCACATTACTCTCTTAAATTTAATATGTCCTGTGTAACGATATAATTGTATAAAATTGTGCCCAAAAACGTTTTATATATTATCTTACATAGAATGTTTATTACATTAAATTAAATTATTAAACTAAACAGAATTAATAAACTAAATCAACTTAATATAATACGACAAGATATAATACAGTCGTATAAAGAAACATATGTCTTGACGGCGAAACATCCTGAGAGCGAAACGGTCACGGCGTATAGTCCCGTTCTCAGGTCCTACAATAGGTTTTGTTTCAAGGCTCTAAACACACAAGTAAACACGGCCACTAAAAAGCCTTACCCTTGTAAATATTAGAGCTGAGCATAAACAGTGCAGCGAAGATCAGCGATCTCTGCCAAAGGCTATTTCTAAAGAGCTCTGCTTTTGTATACGTTAAGTAATTTGCATCTTGGTACAGGCAATGCGGCATGGGCA